ACCGGGCTTGGGCCGAATTTAAAATAAAGCCCGGCCCGGTTTGCTTAGCGGGCTTTTTTGTCGGGCTTGAGCCCGATTTATAATAAGGCCCGGCCCGGTTTGTTTAACGGGCTTTTTGTCGGGCTTGGGCTTGAATCAGGCCTAAAAAAATTTTTCAGGCTCTGTTTCGGGTCTTAGAAAGCCCGACCCGACCCGGCCCATTTCGCACCCTAATACTTGACCCAAGTACAATCACTATTATAAATACTAGCCCTAAACTCTAATTTAACTACAAAAAAAAGCTAAAAAAAAACATCCCCAAAAAAATTTAAATTCATGTTAAAATAAGTCAATGTTTCAGCATCATCCCCGACAATTAATTATGATTATTGCAATTTACACCCATACAATATTAAACAGTTTTGAATGCAGATTGCCGAGATTAGATTGATATTTCCAGATAGTCGTAATAAAGATATTCTGATCCGTTGGGTATTAGCGGAAACGAAGTTTCCGTTTGTACACATTTGGATCAAAGTATTTTACTAAATGCCCGTGATCTTGATATAGTGATTGAGGTATCTTTGAAATAATAACTGCTTTCTGCCTTTAACCTCTCTACAGATGATGTTATACCTACACAAACCTTTACATAATTTACACTGCATATTTAATCTGCAATATTTTCTCATGAAATGCTGCAAGATTAGAACACACTGATATAACCTTAATACTTTCAAAACTTGATCTAAAAATTGATAATATTATATCAAAAATTATAATATTAATAGATGATAAAAATTTTGAAATTAATATAAAGAAAATGAAAGAATTTGCAAAATATAATAGCAAAAGAAAGTATAAAGTTACTGATTTAATTGAGATTATGATGAATCTAACAAAGTTTGAAGGTGTTAAAAATGAAATGGTGAATTAGAAATAAATTTGGATGCTTTGTTAAGAAATTAAACCACTCCTAAATCAAGAATAGAAATTTTAAAGAAAATTATTTAGATTTTTTAGTGTTGCTGGTATAGCATTGCTTAGTTGCTTAGTTATAATTTTTACATAGCTGTTAGGTTTGCTTTAAAAAAGATATCTCACGGAATAAAAATTTTCATAAAAATATCTCAAAACTAAAAATAAACAGACAAACATTATCTCTTGCTTTTGTATTATAATTTTGAATGTCTTTTTTCATATAGTAATTATCACATTTATTAAGCATATAAGTATTATCAATAAAATTAATATAATTTTTTCTCACATAATCAGGTAAAAATTATTTGTACAAAATAGTTTCAAATAGATTTATAAATTAATTCCAATAATGAAATTAAGAAAGATATAGATGTAGTACTTTTAAGATTTTAATCATTTAAGGATTACATTAGTTACCAGTTTGTAAGCATAATCACAATAAAATATTACATTAATTCTCTAACATATCACAATGGTACCAGTTTGTGTCATAAAAAAAATCTACAATATCATAAGTTGACACTATAGCAGAACATTACGTTGATCTGACTCATTAACAGATAAATTAGAGTCAGATGACCTTAATATATAAGACTAAAGAAGTAATAGTAGCTAATTCAAACGATTTCACTCAAACAAATTATTCGTGTCTTGCAGAAGACATCAAGTATTGTTAGACAATAAAGCATAATATAGTAAAAAAAAAGTTATATTTTATTTACTAAACTAACGTTACTAAATCAACCCATTTGGTGTTATAAATGAAACAATAAAACGCTTCATATTGAAGCTTATAATTGGGAAGATAGTCATCTCTAATATAGTCCATCTAATAATAATCTTCATATATTAAAGTAATTGCTAGGATCATATGGGGAAACCCACAGAGAAGGTGGCTTCGGGACAATCACATGATTCGAGAAAATCATAACCAAAATTGGGATCCTTAAAACCGGGCTAAAAAAGTTACGTTTTTGATGTTTTTAGAGTTATACAGTTATGGTTAGTATATTATTTAGGGTTTGGGTCAAAATCCCGACAAACAGAATCCCGACAGGTCATAATCCCGACAAAAAAATCCCGACAGCTAAAAAT